GGGTATCAACTCTCTTTATATAACGATTTATCGTGATTACTTGTTTTAATTGTCACCCTTTCTTTTCTAATTATTTTTTAAATGATTCTATAGAATATCTAAACTTTACTTGTTCGGGAGTATAAAAAAGGTTGATTTCTTTTGAATTAACATGATTTGGTGTTTGAAATTTGAACCAAATTCAGATAAGAGGACCGGTGGAGGGAATTCTTTGCAAAAGACTGTAAGACATTTCATCGAACAACCCCATGACCCAAAACTGCATTTCATTGTGTATTAATAATTGTGCTTCCTTGATATACAGTGTCGGTGTTCATACCGATAGTTCAACGCCTCCCCGGTTTCAACACCAAGTGGCAGTGGTGAGTGTCAGCTGCAACGGATGCAACCAGCACGTTGGCGAGAGATATGTGAGTTCCTGCTTTACGTTCTTCGAATCAAAATAGAATTCGAGTTATAAACTGTTAACATTAACTAATTAATTTATTTGTCTGGTGTTTACTGTTCTCAGCTTGTGCTTGACCCGCCTAACCAGCATGGATATGAAGGACGTTACAAATTATATTTGTAAGTTATTTTTTCCCTTCAAATACGGAATCATATTCGAATAAAAAAGGTTGCAGAATGAAATTATAGAAACTTGATTTATGCAGAGACAGGATATTACTCTGGGACGAAATCCGATTGCGTGATGCTGAGACACGCAAGCCAATCGATGATAATATTGAATCCTTCAAGTCAAAGTGCACAATTTCTACAAGGAAAAACTGCTGGTTTCATAGATTTTAGGGCATGTGTTATATTTCTATTGCTTCATGTTTTATGCTCATTCTATTGCACGTCAAATTTGAATTCTTCTCGACATTTTTTTTAAAAGTTAAGAAAATTTTATTAGATTGCAATAAAAACATAGCATTGTTAGGGGTCTCGTTAAAATAAAAACCAACCTTGCTATAATTCATCCTAAATCGGATTTCAAAATAAAAATAGGGATGGGTCGGAAAAAGAAACTAACATCCTTAATTTAAACACGAGAAAAAAAAAATCTCAGAAAAGATCACCATGCGTAACAAAGATAAGAAAATAATCATGTTGTATCACAAGGCAAAAAGGAATGTGGAGCAAAAGGAGATATTGATTGTGACCAAATGTACATAGTGGATAAACACACGACACCAAAATAACATGAATATGTTTTGTTTCTTGTTCTTATTCGGAAGTAGTCATGTTAATCAACAAACACCCAAATTTCATTATCAAAACTTAGACTCGTTTAGAGACTTCTGTGGTAACAAGCAACGAATAAGAAGATTTTCTGGCATTTTTTCCAATACGTTTTCAATCATCATTCAGACGACAAATTTAAAATTGCTACGGCACATAGCTAAGCCAACTTCAGAGAGAAATCTTTTCATTTCCTGTAATGCTCCATGATTGAAAACCTAACCAACTAAATTGAAGTTGACTCTCCACGGTGAGATATCTTGATGTTCTCTTTGTAATGCATCGGGTTTGGAGACTCAAAAGAATTACAAAATGATCGAGTTCAAGGGATGTTTTCCAATGCTTAAATCGATAAAGTGCGTTATCGGAGTATTTACAAAAAAAAAAAAATGAAAGAGAGAAAACTACAAAATCTGAATTAGTCTTCTTTTTTCTTTTTTTCTCTCTCAATCTTTGCACGAAAATAGCCGCATGACAAGGACTATATGTAATGCTTGATGCGCCTTATCTCAAAACGGCCGTTCGCCACTTGTTTCTCCATCACTGTCCGTCAACCTCCCACCAACAACTTTCTTTTAAAGATTAATTGAATGAACCTGATCATTGCTAGTGTGTTGTTTGGAAACGGCCCTTAAATACGAGAAGCAATTCACATGCTAAAGTACGAACCTCTGATCAGGGATGGACTGTGAATAGAGATGATGATAAGTTGATATGGGTCGGATTTTATTTTTGGGCATCCAAACTTAACTTGAAAATTAAATACTTTCACTCGTATTCGATCCTATTTAGGTTTATAAGGATCCCATCCGACTCAAAATCTAACATTATTTTTAAGTCAAAGTCCACACATGTATAGAAAGACTTTATTGAAAAGAATAATATAGAAATCAAGGAGTATTATTATAATTTTCTCTAAAATTATAAAAGATAATTATAATATTATGTCAAGTTGAGTTTTCTCCCTAAACTCAATTCTAATTCCATCTTTAAAAAATTCGACCCGAACTTGGACTCGAATTTTTTAAATAAAAATTGATCCGATCGTATAGGGTCAGAATCCGTAGGGTTCATATGAAACTGGCATCCCTAATCGAGTAGATGACGAGAACAGTCACTCCCTTTAAAAATTCTAAATTTTCATATTATTTAGTATTTTTTTTATTGATAATTTATTTTTATCTTAAAATCTGATAGGTTAATTTTCTCCGAAATAAAATCCTAGTTCGTTTGTGCCTACAGTGGTGGGCATAATTTGATTGTTTTTAAAATAAAATTAAGATAATTAAGCACTCAGCGTAGTGGAGGGCCTATTTCAAGTGTAACATCAAAGCTTTTTCTATATAAGTTTTGTTGGATTGATGAACCTTTCCAAGTCATAAAAAAAAAAATACAAGCCAAGCTACGTTCATATCGATAGAACTATGTAGAAGCTCTTAATTAATGATTCTACAGCTTTTGTTTGTGTCCACTTTTTTACTCTCAATTTTATTGGCGAAAACAATCCTTCCGTTGACTGTCCAAATTAAGGGGAATATCCAACACTCTTTTAACCTACCCATTTACCTGATTTAGGGAAAACGCCCCACGCATTTAATATTTCCCACTTCTTCAGACTTTACTTTTTCACATCCATGGGTTGACAGCATGATAGTTGTAAAATATGAGCCACATGCATACGGGTCAATGAATCACTCATGTATGGTGGCGAAACTGTTCCGCCTATTTCTCCTTCCCTACAAAGAGCCTTTACCACCTACCCTTTGTTGCTTCACAGCCATATTTTCATTATCTTTATGCTCTCCTAAATTCACCCTTTCTATCATAGATTTCTTATGTTTCCCCGGACTTATTACTGAAGCTATACTTTCGTTGTCATTCCTTGCATATTTTATCCCGAAGTTTTTAAAGTTTTATATCCTACGATCAGTTATAAGATCATTGACAAACTCACGTGACCTACTAGCAAGAGACGGAGCCACCTTACGGATGGGAGGGGCATAATTGATGGGATAACTATATTTTAGGTCATTGAACATTTTAAAACTATTACAATTAAGTATTTGTCTCCCTCCCCCAAAATTTATTGGTATAATTAATTTTGGGATAGTCTCAGTTTTAAAATTAATAGAATTAAGTCTTGACCCAAAATTTATATGATTTAATTATTTTTTAAGACATTTAAATTTTAAAATTAGTAGAATTAAACCCTCAATCTCTTTTTTTATGATTCAATTACTTTTTAATATCCTATTTATTTTAAAATTAAACAACTTATCCCAAGAATTTAAATTACGATTATGGTAACATCTTTGGTTGCGTTGTGTTTATCACGATTATGACAATAGCAGATGCTATTAAGGTATCGCAATTGAACAATAACAATTTCATATGACATCTTTATTACTATATAACATCCACTATTTCGATAGCGAATTGCTATTTAAATTCTTGTTTGCCCCCCTCATAATTTAATTCTGACTCCGTCTCTGCTACTGGTTAAATCTATTATCTCACAGCCATATTTATTTATCATATCAACCTACAAATAATCATTATCACCCTAATCTTGAAACTAGTATTAATGACGTGTCTATATATATATATATCACTATGCAACATTGGAGAAAGGTAGGACTTTCTAAATTATTCATCATCTTCTTCGTTTCGTTCATTCTCTTTTTTTTCTTCTACCGAACAATTTTATGTTGTTTTCCACTCAAAACACAAGGGATGAATCATCCAAAATCACCATAACTATTCATATCTTGAATATATGCATATGATTCGGATATATTAATTTTTGGTATATAAAATATTACATTTATAAACACATTCGAATTTAAATTTATGTGAATGTTTCATTATAAAACGGATTATAATTTATAAGCAGAGGAAGAATGAAACGGTTCATCAACTTGGCAGGTTAGGACTGTTAAAGCGGACGTGTTTCAGCATGAAAATTATGGAACTGGTTGTTAATCAACTAAGTACCAAGGACCGAAATATGGAGTAATCTTTATTCTTTAATTACATGGGAGCATCGGTGCGTGGCATAAAGTAGTCTCGATTGCTATCATTTCCCGTGGGTGACTAAGTCCCTGTAATCAATGTTTGTGTCGAGTTTTTGTATTTAATTTTACTTTTGATACAATTACATTATATAAATTTTGATATAATTATGTATATATTGGTGTTTTATTTGGCATATCTAATATTATTAGGTCAACGAGGATGAGAGAGACTGAACGTTGAAGTGATTCCCATGGACCTACTACATTGAGAAGATGCTAATCTACTATTGGGGTCCCCATTGATTCTTCCGGATTGTTTAGTTTCCAGAAGCATTTCTTTTTGTTTTCAATGTGTTCATTATGGTGAAAAGATCCGAGTCAACTATTCGTATTTATAAGAGGAGGAGATGATCCTCATTCCCTTCTTTGTCCAATGCCACGTGGCAATTGATGGTTGGGCGGCTTGTCTAGATGGCGGCTATCAATGAGAAGCTCAAGGTCATTCTCTTCATACCTACTGGGCATTTCATGTGACTGCTAGGAGCATGTGCATATCCACGCTTCGTTGTTTACCATGGCCGAGTGAAGAGTATTTGTTTCATGACATTTTAAGTCGAACGTTATTATATTTCGAAACTAAAAAAAAAAAAAATTCAATGCTGTGCACCTTAGGATGACATGATGTTAATGTCAGCATCCATCTTCCTTGGGCTCATCATAAGTAGCTGCTCTGCACCTCTCTGCTCTCTTCAACCTCCTCTTTTCTTTTCTTCATCTTTTCTTTACGCTTCAAAAAAAAAAAAAAAGAACAAAATTAAGCCAACCAGAGCCACGCGCCCACTCGCTATGTACGGTCGTCCAACATTCCCGCTCTCTTCCTCCGAGTTTCTCTGCGACTTACTGACTTCTCCCCACGTCATGTCTTCGCCGTTAAGTCCGCTATCTCAACTCACTGTATCCAACTCGGCGACCGAGGTGGTTCAGAGTGGCAGCAGCAGCAGCAGCAGCTACAGTTCCCCGAGCTCCCGCACACAGACACCAAGTTTCTTTAGAAGCGTCAGTAGCCATTCCCTTCAAAGCAATGACCTTCGTTGTCGTTTCGCCTCGAGCCTTAACGACTTCATTGACTCCGGTTCTGGTTCGGTGAGGAGAGTTTTCCGTACCGGTGATTTACACCAGGTTAGTTATATTCATGAGTTTAACTTCACCTAATAAAATATAGGGTTTAATGTTTATTGGTAAAGTATACCCATTACAATGTTATTTTGTTGAGTTCTATTATTAGTAAAATATAAAATTAATCTCTTTATTATAATTATAAGGTGTTGATTTATTGAGTTATATTATTATTAAAAATTATAAAATAATTTCATTATTATAAGATGTTATTTTGTTGAGTCTCTCGATTATAAAAAGTTATAAAGTGATCATTTGACTATTTATATATTTCAAACTCGTCATTTTATGTTAAAGAATTGATAATCGTCTGAATTTAATGTTAATTTGATATTACATGATAAAATTTTATTATATCTCATTTAATATATTAAATTCCATCTTAAAATCTGCAGTCAATTTTTTAACAAGAAATGATGAGTTTAAAACATATGAATAATTGATATTATCATTTTGTAACTTTTAATAGTCAGTAAACTCAACAAAATAATGTCTTATAATCGGGGATTCAATAAAACATCACTTTATAGTCGGAGGATCATTTGTGTTATTTAATTGATTTAAACATTTTGATGTCTTTTTTTTAATTTTAACCTAGAAAACTAATTTGTGTCAAAAACAATTTTTGTATTCTTACATAATCTTTTTTAAACACTTATAAAATCTAAATAAAAATAATTCATATTCTAACTCTAAACTCTACTGTCTTTGCTTACATTAATGCTATAATTACAAGTCAAAACATAAAAAATCGTTCAAAATATTTAATTTAAAAATACAAAATGAATTTTCCTAAAATCTTTAGATTTAAGACAAGAGAAAAGGTTTAATTGAAAAGGATGATAAAAACTCATAAACAATATTTAAAATTACATTAAAATTTTCAAGTTTTCAAAATTATGATAAAATAGTATAATTTTTTTCTTAAAAATATCCAATTATAATTAGACATGAGTTACGTGCACAAAAATATTAACATCGTCATAGATCATTTTTAATTAGGGTAAACTACATGTGTAGTACCTAAACTATCATTTGTGTCCGTTTTAGTACCTAAAATTTTATTTTTTTCAAAACAATATCTAAAGTTTACTTTTTATTTCATTTTGATACCATGTCGTTGAAAATTTATGTATTAAAATGAAATAAAAAGTTAACAATAAGGTACTAGAATGAAACAAAAAGTAAACGTCGGGTACTAAAATGAAACAAAAAGTAAACGTCGGGTACTAAAATGAAACAAAAAGTAAACATTAGGTATGATTTTTAAAAAAATTAAAAGTTTAAGTACTAAAACAAAACAGAAGTGATACTTTAAGTATTAAACATGTAGTTTACCCTTTTAATTATTAACATTTAAAATGTATATTAAACAAATTACTGTCTTTTTTTTTCAAGAACAGTCGATATGCTTGATTTCAAAATTAATAAGAACTTAAAAAATTCAAATAAAAATATTTAATTGAATTTAAATCAAATAACTACAATTTTAAAATTTTAAAGTGAAATATTCACTCTTAAAACATATAGGACGAAAGTGACCTTCAGTAAAAAGATCAAAAGGTAAATTATATATTTAATATTTAAACTATTAGTTTTAATTTATTTTAATATTTAAACTTTTAATTTTTTAAAATCATACTTAATGTTTAATTTTTATTTCATTTTAGTACATGTCACTAAAAACTCAACGCGTTTAGTACCTAAATTATTAATTTTTTCCCGTTTTAATATCTAAACTTTTAATTTTTTTTCAAAACTTAACTTACAATTTCGAATGGGGATACTAGAATGAAACAAAAACAAAATTTTTTAATGGAGTACTAAAATGAAATAAAAACTAAATTTTATGTATGATTTAAAAAACTAAAAGTTTAAGTACTAAAATGACTAAAACAGATAGAATAGGTACTAATTACGTAGTTTACCCAAGACTAAAATGTTGTCTTTTCGTAATGATGATGGGCAGGTGCAGCAGTATGGTAGGAGGGCAGAGAGTCAACTGTCAATCGAGAGCAATGCAATCATTGAAGGAATGAACAGAGCCTGCCGCTACAGTCCCCAGGAAAAGAAGGAAAGGATTCAAAGATACCGAACCAAACGAAATCACAGGAATTTCAATAAAAAGATTAAGGTATCTTAATTATTCACTCTTAACTCTTAATTCCAGTGGTTTCGTTGTTACTAATACTAATATAAATATGGCAGTACGCATGCAGGAAAAGATTGGCAGACAGCAGGCCACGCATCCGAGGGCGGTTCATAAGAAATACAGAAATTGAAAACGATCACTTGGATGGTGAAGAAGAAGAAGATGATGATGAGATTAATTGGATCAGCTTTCTTGATATTCACTCCCACCAACTGCTTCCTAACCCTTAATGTTTAACGATTCTTCTGCTTGTTTTCCTTTAAAATTTATGCTTAAGTCTTTCAAAAGGGTGTTGTAAATACGATCGGTGACATTATTCATACCAGAGTATGGAGAATTGCAAGCTTTATATAAATGGCAGACAAGAAGACTTGCAGAAACAGGCAATATTTTAATTCTTTTCTTATTGCTTGAACCACAGCTTTTTATCATATCCAGATAATTCAGATTTCTTTCATGACGAATCTCATGGGGTAATATTTATTAAGAAGAGAAAAAAAAATAAAAGAACTCCAATTTTAATTCAACTGTGGCGAATCTCATGTAATATTTATGTAAGTGGCGATGTTTTATTACATGAACGACCTTGATGGTGTTAGTACTATCTCAAACTTTAATACTTAACGTTATCGATTTAGTCACTGAAATACTTGCAATCGAATCCCTTAACTTCTACGACATTATCAATTTAGTCACTGTTTTATTCAACATGTCTTCTTTAATAAGGCAATAATATATATCATCATCTAAATGGTCACGCAACGAGGAGCTCAAGTTTTGAACCTAAATCCTCTGTTTTAAACTCCAATGCACAACCACTCCTTGCAATTGAAGTAAAATACGCTACATTGACCTTAACAAGTTCTTGCTAACAAAACTGCAGTTGAATCGGATCCGTAATGACTTTTAACACAAGTCAATCATTCATAATGAGGATGTTGGCAGATGCACCAACAAAGAAAGACAATAATATCTTGTACATGAATCGCCATTTTCAGTCTTGGAGGGAAACCACAAAATACAGTGAATATGGAGACGGTTTTAGGTCAAGAATTTAAATAGCGTTTGCGGTCGCGTCGCGTTTATCGTGGTTGCGGACATAACAGATGTCATCGCGGTCACTACGGGTGTCGCCGTCATGAATTTTTTTAAAATTTCGCACAATTTATCCTAAAATATAATAATTATAATTATAATGTTAAGGAGTGACCAAAATAGTAACAATATGAAAGTTTAATGAGTAAATTGAAAAAAATTTAAAGTTCAGTGAGTAAAATAGGAGATATAAAAAAGTTAAGTGATGATTTATGTCGTTTACCCTAATTAAAAAGAATAGAAAATGGGAGTAACTAAGTAAGAGTGGAACGAATTTTTTTCCTCTTCTCACTTTTTCAGGGGTTTCTTACTCTTCTCAGGCAGGAGTTTCATTTTTCTCCGATTTTTTACTCATCGTCTCCTCCCCTATTTCTTCTTTGGCCTCCACTCTTTAATCGCTTATTTTTCCACGACTGAAGTTTGATATATTGAGCACATCTCTTTCTCTTTGGCCTCCCATGTTTCTACTTGTTCTTTTTTTTAAAAAAAAAATTGTTGTACAAAGGGGATAGCGTCTCGTTATCGACGTTATTTATCATTAAATGATAAATTACGGCCGTAAAGGACCGCTATTACCCGTGATTTCGCTACCCACCGTGATTTTTTCGAATATCGGTTTCCGATGATGGCGCTACCACGAAATAGTATTTGAATCACTGCTTAGGTGGATAAAAAAATATTTTTCTCACTAAGAAAGAAAAACTCAAATGGAATTACAGCTTCATATTAATTATTAAATAGCCTGTCATTATAAGAAAAAAGATCTTTCCAATATCTCTGTAATCGTTTTAATTAAGAAAATACTTTCAAGAGAAAACCAATTTGATAAGCAAAACAAAGAAGTGAGAACAAAACAATGGCTACATTCATTGTCTTTTGAAGATTCTATGACCCGTTTCTTTTGCCTTTTTTTTTCCAAGTCATACAAGTACCACAATTTAATCACAAAGAAGTAATTATTACCTAATGTGATTAGTTGATAATTATGAGAAATAGAATTTTACTTTTTTTTATAACCATACTGATCGACTAGTCTATATCAAATATTACATATGTCCATTATTAGTAACACTAGTGCCCTAATTTTATTTCATTCACAATGTTAATCCGAACTCCTAAACTTACTTAAGAAATTTAATACCTAGGCAAACTGGTTGTTTGTAGAATTTTACTCTATTCAGTTAAAAGGCTATTGCATTACTCTTTCGCGGCAACCTCCGGAGGTGGAGCGGGCTGCGGTAGCGGGAGGCTGGAGGTTGCCCACTAATAAGTATTTTTGCTGCATTAGGAAATGACATTAAATTATAAGATTCTAAGAATCCAAGGTTCCCACTATCCAAATTTCAACTGTAATAAACAATAAATTAAGATTTAAATAGCAGTCCATTATTATAACAGCATCCGTTATTTAACAATAATGATATCACTCAATTATCTTCACCGTTTCATTTTAATCGCCAAACTATTTTTTTTTTCTTTTCAAAATCATCACAAAACTAACGTTTTTATTTTGTTTTAGTGACCAATTATTCACAGAAATTTCTTTCGCTTTGGCAAATGGTTTCATTTTCCGATCTTCATTACCATCATTTCTGGGTTATCGGACAATGATCACATGGAACCTTGCTTTATCTATGAATTCCTAGTGGCTCTGATATGAACTTTGGTTTGCCATATAATAGCATTAATGGGTTCGATTGCATCATCAGTTTAACTTTTGTCTCTATTTGTATAGATATTCAATATCTTAAAACATTATCTTTTGCTGGCTGTCGCGTCCTATATATTGAAGTTTAACTCAAAAATGTCCTCTCACTGCAAGTCATTGCGAGTATGAGAGTTATGATGACCAGAGACTCTAAAACGTTCAAACATTTTCATCTGTATTATCCATTTTCGCCCATGGGAATAAATTGAACCATTTACGCATTTTGCTCTTCTCTCTTGCAAAATACAATTCTCCATGGATGATATCTCTAAGTCGATGCAACAAATAAATGTGGCTAAAATCGATCCCCAACCTTTGATTTGCAAACACTCCGCTTCTACATTCCCGTTGCAACATTCTAATTTCAGGAAACCATCCCTTTGCTCTATTATTACGGTATTTGTGCTCCCCTCATGATATATGTGCATAGTATGTAATTATAGTTGTCTTTGTTCTTCATATCAAATACACCATATCAAGTTTCTGTCTTCTCTTATAATAGGCTGGGTGTTTGTGCTGGATGCTATCTCTAATTTAAAAACACATAATAGGTACTCAAAGAAATTGAGTTTATCTGCCAAAATTAGAATAACTTAGAACCAATATTGATTATGTTTCTGGCAATCTCTTAAACACTCGAGTCGAATCATATCATCAACATTCAGGTAAAATTTTATACAGTATTCAACCCTACAATACTCAACCTTCGAACAGAACAAAAACAGAGAAAGCAATCAACACGCACGCAGCAAACAGATCAAACATCTCTACATGAACATGCGACAATGTCCCAATTTTAACCAGAAATTTCAACAGATTTGATCTCAGCTTTTTTTACCTCAACCTTAGGGACAGTAACAGTAAGAACCCCATTCTCCATCGAAGCCTTCACATCATCCATCTTCACATTCTCCGGCAACCTAAACCTCCTCGAGAACTTCCCGCTACTCCTCTCCACTCGATGCCACATGTCCTTCTTCTCCTCCTTCTCCACGCGCCTCTCCCCGCTGATTTGAAGCACCCGATCGTCTTCGATCTCCACCTTCACTTCCTCTTTCTTCATCCCTGGAAGGTCCGCCTTGAACACGTGTGCGTTCGAAGTCTCCTTCCAGTCCACACGGGTGTTGACGAAACCGGAAATTTCTCCGGAAAGTAGAGGTAATGATATAAGCGTCGGGGAATCGAATTCCTTGAATGGATCCCATAAATCCATCGAAAATGGGTCGAAAGAGCTGTTGCGTCGATTGCCGAAGAAGTCTGGAATCATTGCCATTCTAGAGCTGAAGCGAGCGTTTGGATGCCGAGAAAATTGTTTAGTAATTTTTGTTGATGTTTCGAAGGCCAACGATAAACTGGGTTTATATAGCGAGGAAAGGAATTATCTAGTAAGTTCGAGAATAAACTTCGAAATGTGAAAGTTACGGGCATTGCAGTTAAAGTGTGGAACAAGCATACGCCGGATTTGCTAGAACCTTCTGGATAGCGGTCCTGGGCTTCAGTTTGTTTTTCTCATAAGCTGTTTCAAGTTTGAGTTTTCCATATGTAGATTTTTAGTTTAAATTTTATTTTGATTTAGGTCTTAATATATTTTAGTTGTTAGTGTGATTGTTTGGATTTAAGATTTAAATTAATTTTTCCTTATAAGCCGTGTTATAGACTGTAAAAAAGGTGGTTTGAACCATACGACGAAGTATTGGTATTTTTTATGTCTTAAATTTGATTTTATTTTTTGTGATTTTTTATTTAGCATTCAATTCATTTTAATCCTACGTATTTCACTTATCAATTTGATTATATTTTATTTATTTATTTGTTTTAATAGTATGAAATTTTGTATATTTATAACAGGGGCGGTTGCACTAAGCTCTCATAGGGGTCAAGTGCATCATATTATTTTAAAAAAATAGTTATATTTAGCTTAATGCGTTAAGAAAAAAATTACAAACCCATTATTTTTGAAAAATGAAAATGAAAATTTTAGATTTTATTCTTAAATTTATGAATCGCCACTGATTTAGAATGATACTTACAGAAAACTTAAAGAATAAAAAGCTACTCGTTGGATAGGGTATTTCCTATATTAATGACTATTAAGGCTAAATGGTTAGAAAATGATGTTAAAAGCTACCATGAACTACATGCAATGATCATGAAATATATTAGTATACTATAGAGATTAAATCACGAATATCAGTCGATGGAAAATTTTGAGATTACCTTGGCAATATTTTCTAGGATTTTGAATCAACCTCTGCCGTTGCTGCTGAACTTTGAGGTGTTGTAAAAGGTTTTAAACTTGCGGGGTTATATAATTTTGAGAAGATCCAACTGCAGATGGATAGCTCGGATGCTTTTGGACTACTTAAGAATGCATCTTCTGATAGTCCTTATTCCTTTGTCCGTGAGATTGCGATGTTGCACGGTTAAATTTGGTTTGTCGACTTTATTTAAGATTATCCGATGCGAGACGAATGTGGCAACAAATTTTCTAGCAAAGATTGATGGTAATAGCTCAACGGCTCTCGTCTATGCCTTTCTTATGTGTGATAGCTGGGGTCTTGCTTTGTCCGTCTAAAACGTACGGAGTTCATTTTTTAGTTTTAACCGAATTATTCGACCGAATCGAACTAATTTAGTTAATTTCGTCGGGAAACAGTTAATATTTTTTCGATATTTGATTAACGGATAATTCGATATGAAACCGGTTAATTAACTAAATTAACTGAAGTTATTAAATATTAAATATATTTTAAGCTAAAACTCATTAAGAGTTGAGGCCCAATTATTTTTGAACCACATTAGATCATTAAATTATTAATACCTAATTAAATTTTAGCCTAAATAAAAAATACTTCTATTATATTCAAATTAATCTAAGTAATTTTTTTGACTAATTCGGTTAATCGACCGAAATAACCAAATTTTATTCGGTCTGGCTAATATATTCAAAAAAATTCGCTTAGATTAATGGTTAAATAAAAAAGTCTTATTAATTTGGTTAATGGAAATTCGGTTCGGTCGGTGGTGAAATTAACCGTTTAAACACCCCTACTGAAACATGCTTAAATTATTCGATGAAGCTCATTTTCAATTTAAAAAAAATAAAATTTAATATTTTTCTATTGGGTAAATTATGTGTTTAGTAACTAATTTGATATGTTTTAGTACTTTTATTTTTTTTAAATCATACCTAAAATTTAGTTTTTATTTCGTTTTAGTACTCTGTTCAAAATTTAACATTAAATTTTGAAAAAAATGAAAGTTAAAGGTACTAAAACAGACCAAAACTATAGTTTAGATACTAATCATGTTAAGTTTTTTACGACGGAGTACTAAAATGAAATAAAAACTAAACATTAGATATGATTTTTTAAAAAATGAAAGTTTAGATACTAAAACAAACTAAAACTAATAGTTTATATACTAAATACATAGTTTAGCCTTTGTTATAAAATAGTTAAAACAATTCAATATCAATATATCTACATCTTTTTTGTGAATGTACAACATTTTTTTAATATAAAGATATGAAGGATGAAAAATAAGGCGCTTGTAAGAAGGCGCTTGAAATTACATTCTACTAATTTTTACCACGACATCGATCTGTGTCAATTCCTCTCCTCTCCTCTCATCCCTCTATTGCATCTCACTGACGGCTTGAATTCATCATCACACATATCACACGGATCAACCTCCCTACTCAACATTCCACACTTCTCATATAAATATCCCACTATTTTTGCTTAAACTTGTAAGAACACGTCTATTTCGGTTCTTTGAAATATTTCATTTGTTCAAGCTTCACTCCTTTAATAGAGGTAGTAATGAGATATCAGTCTAAAGATGACACTTCTAAGTGCTCGTGTGAAGTTGACTATAACAAGTGTTCCTCAACTCTCTTAGTCTATTATCCACCAATGCTCCTTAATCTAAACCTTAGGCATTACCGCCTTTATTGAATTACCTAAACTCATTTTTCTTCATTCATTTTTTTTGCTCACCTTATTCTTTTCTTTTTTCTTTGTTTTTTGTATTATTATTTTGTCCCTCTCATTTCTTTCCCTTACCTCGGGAAATTCATCGCGTCACAATTAATGTCACAGTTTGAATATAACCACTTCATAAAGCTTAGACTTATCTCAATAGTTGTTTGAAATTACCTTCAAGTTATCAGCTTATGCTTTCAGCGGAATGGCCCCGTTTAATTTTACTCATCTATCACTATTTTTTAACCTTTTGAGTAATCGACTTCAAGATTTCTTAAGGTTGTTGAGAAGAACCTGTTATAGTCTAGGTGTCGTTGATGGTCAGAAAAACCTTATCTTTAGAGTTTGCTTCCCAAGCAACTAACCTAATACTAAGTTCATCTATTCCACTATTTCATCTAAGAAGATTATAGTCATCATTGAGCGTTCCCAACAGAAAGTCTAATCAGTTTTACCACCTCATATGCAAGATGCCTCATTTTTTCATCTCTTATACATACATGAATGCCAAACCCTTTGATCATTTCTTCATAGGAAGAGAAGGCTAGCTTAGTCCCTGCAAGAGAAGGGTATGATGTTTGAGTGTTGGAGTAAGATCAAGGGATCTTGTTTTACGAGTATTCAATCTTGCCATTTTCCCAAAGGTCGTAACCTTGATTCTCAAGGGAGCTTTTAATTCAAATGATATTAAAAGAACTAAAAGACTAAAATTTAATCATTGCTCATAAACTTAGAAGGTGATATTTTTATTTACTATGTTCGAATGTCAAGTGACTTACAAACATTTAAACATAGAAAGAAGGGAAGAAAACAATTTCAAACAAGATAAGATTTTTTTCATGCCAGTGCAACAAAGCTTCATGGTAGATGCAATGACTCCCAGTTAATTTGCATCAGGATGCCCTATCATTCATTGAACGTCCATGCCCCTGAATTGATCAAGCTCTGGACCTTATGCTTTAACTCTCCACAATTCTAAGTAGTGTGACCCGAACTTCCTATGCGGTAGCTACATATGGTGTTCACATCGTAATATTCAAGATATGGAGGCTCTTTTGGCTTGGACTAAACATGAGTCACAAGATTCTTCTCAAACAATATTGGAAGTAATTATTTATAGGTCATTGGAATTTGGATCAAATTGACTCTTTTCTCGTATCATCTTATGAGGCTTGACCCTGTAACTAGCTGAATAGGATCCCACCATACTGATTTCAACTTCTTCCTTGGTGTTAATGCTACTTGTGCTCCTCAGTTTACCATTCTTGATAGCACTTTCAATCATCTCTCCACATATAACGACGTTAGAGAAGTTCTTTGTTGCAACCAATAGCATATGGTTGATATAAGGAGATTTTAGTCTGTCGATGAATATAGTGTTAAACTCCATTTAAATCATTGGTAGATGCACCTGGAATACGACGTCCCTCCATCGCTATGCATATTATCGAAAATTCTCGTTATGCTTCATTTCCATGTTTTGTAGTGTTGTTCGATCAAGGGTCATATCTGTCATGTGTTTATATTAACCCAAAAATGCATGGGCCAGATCATTCTAGGAATGAATCTGAGCCCTTTTTAGCTGATTATACCACTTAGAAGTAGGTCTAATCAAACTATCTTAAAAATAATGAATTAACATTTGATCATTATTAGTGTATCCAGTCATCATTCGAATAAATATCGTGAGATGAAAAGAAGGTTAACTAGTTCCATTGTACTTTTCAAAATTGGGCATTTTTAATTTGGGTGGGAGTTCCAGGTCGGGAACCAAGGCTAACTCAGTTGCATCCATTTCATTTTGGGAGCTTTGTCCTCTCATTCCTTTGAAATAATCTTTACACTAGCTCTTCAAGCTCTCAGGGGTCTCGTTCCACCTTCCTGATAGTAGAGAAACTTCTCAGGTGAAATAATTATCTGTAGAGCTCTTTGTTCCATAACGGGCTCAAGAAGCTTTGCAGATGAGAAAGCCTTCTATTTACCTTTTGCTTGATTGAGCCCAACCAACCTAGCTGCAATCTGGTCAACCATGTTGGCTTGGTTTTGCAAGATGCAATCCATAGTGTTCTTTTATGATAGTCTAATTTTTCTTCCCAATCTCGTTGCATTCTTTGGATATTCTCTTGCAATTCTTCCTTCAATTGCTCAAATCTTGCTTCCATTCTCAATGTTGTCTCACGTGGTTAGGACTACTTTCATTGAACCCTCCACGAATTAATCCCATGTTCTCATGATAAATGTATGCAAAAAATATTTAAATAAATGCAATGCAAGTGCGAAATACAAATATGCAAATGCAAATGCAAGCGACATTGATCCAACGATGAATATCATAAAATAATTTTCATAAAAGAT